TTTCCAGCCGGCTAAGCCGTTTAAAAATTCCTTAGCCGGCTAAGCCGTTAAATTCCTTAGCCGGCTGATATCACTAGCCCGAATACCTGGCAACTCAAATTTGGAACGCAGTGAGAAATGATGGTACTCCTAATGAAAAGAAATATTTCGGCGAATATCCTCATGTTATAGTAAAAGGTTCTGAACCTCAAAGGTATTTTATTAAAGATCAATATGGAATGATAGTTCGAGCTAAAAATCGGGAAGTTGCAGAAAAAATATTAGGGGATGGGCAGGTTATAAGCAAAGTCAATTAAGCGTGAGATTGTGTGGTAACGTTAAAGATATATTAAAGCAATGTAATTACAGATTAGTTAATCGCTTTGAATACATTCCCTGTGGGTACTGCTTAAATCCGGAATATTATCTTAATAATGGCTGTAAACAATTTGTTAGAATAGAATAGATCAAAAGTATGTGTTTTTTGTATATCACCGTGGAATATCAACTAGTTCATCATACGTACCAGCGCCATTAAAGAGTACAATGTAATCCATATTTTTTCTTATTATTATTGGGCAGTCAAAAAAAAACTTTGGGATACGTAGATCGAACTAACTGGAATGGCATATTTTTATATGAAATCGAAGAAAAAAGTTTCAATTACAGGAAACGGAAGATAAGTTATTCAAGCTTAGCGGAGTTAATTCCACTAAAAAATCTCGATCATAATTTATTTTCAGTTATGCAATTAATGATTTGATCTCTTTTTCCAGGTTTAGAAGATTCATCCGGCCGATTCTAATGGACATAGGATCAGAAATCGGCACAGTGGTATCGAAGACAATGAATTCGCCATTCCGTAAATAATTATTGATGATTTTAGAAGCTTTACATGGATCTTCTTCTATGTATTGTCTTATAATTCGTGCAATATCTTCTGTGGATCCTCCGCCATTAAATAATACAAGATGAGTTGTATTTTCACGAATGATTTTTGGGAGTTGAGTGAATTTATGTGTATTATAAATGGCGAAAATATTGCTATGGCGACCTCTAGTAAGAAATGGGATGATAAGATCTTGAATTAACTGGGGTTCAGGCCTTTTAACCAATTAACCATTTACATCGAAAAAGAATCATTTAATGAAATAATGGATCAAAAATAAAGCCTTTAACCAATTGACAATTTGTCTAAATGATCATTTAATAGAATAAAATAACAGGTTAAAAAATAAAGCCTTTTAACTAGGGATCCTATTCAAATAAAACAAATAGAACGGATCAAAAATAAAGTCTTTAAAGAATTGCAAATGATTATTTAATAGAATAGAATAACAAATTAAAAAATAAAGCCTTTTAAACAATTAACCATCTAGACATAAAAGAATTGTAAATGATCATTTAATAGATTAACAAAATAAACAAAATAAAGCCTTTTAATTAGTGTTCCTATTCAAAAGATTTTTGTCAATCATTTTTATGATAATTAACAAATGCGAAATTACTATTTATCAATTAAGAAAAATCACCTTTACAGAAATTTTTATAACTCAACATACAGATGGTTTTTCCAATTCTGAAAAGTGTTTTGTATTCCCAAAATATGTGTTTACAACGTAACAATGCTTTTTTTTTGCAAATGCTTGTAACATTGATGTGCTTGCATATTACTAAATGTAATTTTTGTCAAAATTCTAGATGTTTATTAACACAATTTCTAAAAATTTATTGTAAACACAAAAATTTGCGTTGTTACGTTGTAGATAAGGTTCTCAGGAGTAATAATCATTTTGGATTTTTTCTGTGGCTATTCTGTTTCCAGAGTTATAAAATTTTTAAGAAACTCTATTAAGTATTGTAAAATAGTAAATTATCAATCACGGGAAACGAACATATAAATCGGAAATGATTTACATGTATTACTGTTACGAAGTGAAAATTTGGAAACGATTATCACGGAATAACTTAACAAGAAATAAACCGGTATAATTTAATAAATGTTACACTAATTAATAAGACGCACCAATCAAATAAATAGCTCTCGGAAAATAACCCAAATATTGGAGATATAAATATTCCAACATTCTAAAGTGTAACAAATAATCAAATCTCAGAATAATATTTAAATGAAAGAATTTTACATGACTCACGATGACTAGAAATTACTTGAAACTAATTCTACATGGAAGGGTTAATTATTAATTAAGGAATATATTAATTAGTATAAAATAGGACTTTAACAAAGTCGGATAACTAGACAATAGAACCTCTAACATGTATAAATACGTTGTAAATTTCTCTTTCATGTAATCTTTAGTTATAATTTTAACTATCATCTTGTAATCACAATAATATCTTAATAATAAAATACAAACATAAATATCTTTTAAACATAAACTCTTGCCAGTGGAAATATCCACCCACTTCCAAACCCACATAAACCTTTTGCCCTAACTTAATTAATCACTAATTAATTAATTACTAGCTTACCAAGGGGACACCTTTGATAAGTATAGTTGTATATATTTCTTTTAATTTTATTTCTTTTCTTTTATTTTAGATTAGGCCAATGCCTAAACAGAGCAAACCCTAGCTAGGTGTGCGAGCGAAGCGGTCAGTAAGACACTGAACCTTAAATAAATCTCACAAACACAAGGAAGTATCGGAGAAGATACTTAGGGTTATTATCAAGAATAATAATCAACACGTGCTGGCTCAGGAAGCACTACTGAGAAAACATTACCGGACGGGAAGTAAAGGACACTTGCCCACGACTTCAAAAATAAAACACACAAATAGCTTGAGCACTATCAGAAGCACCAGTAATCAAACGAATTACTGAAGGGATACTACCATAGAGCAGGCAACACAATAATTCAACCAAATCCAAAGAGATTTGTGTGAGATTCGGAATTTGATCTCACAGTATACAAAAGAAAAATTTTTTTTTAATAAAAATTTGATCTGCATGTTTATGTGACACAAAATCCTTACCATTATAATTATGAAGTGAAAATTTGGAACAGAATAACTCAACAAGAAATAAACGAGTTTAATTTAATAAATATTACACTAATTAATACAGTCAGGGAGATTTCCAAATTTAGAATTTCTAAATACTGTAATAATTGACGACCTAGATTCATTGTGTAATTCTAAAAATACTCTAGAAAAAACATCAAAACAAAAATGATTGGCTTTATGCAGATCTTTTTCATTGAAAAAAATAAAAAAAAAAATTTTTATGTGTATACTGTATATGAAGGAAAACTTGGCGAGAGCTTTATTAAATGGTCATACAACTTCCAAAATTATGCATCATGTATATTTTTAACTGCTTTATGAGCCTACCAAAAAAAAACAACCAATAGTTGCAAATTATAATCATAAAGTTATCATACAAATTCAATAAATTTTCATAAATATACTGAAAAGTTGTTGAGTTTATTAACCTCTTCTTTAGAATACATTCAACATCCTACTAGTAAAACAAATAAATTCAGAAGATTCAGAGGCAGTGCTAGGAGTAAGTCTTCGATTAGAACTTGATCTTTGCTTTCCCTTTCCTATTATTATTAACGATGCATGTTAAATTTTATATATAGTAAAAATAAATAAATAAATAAATAGTTCTAATATGATCGGAACTATAAAAAAGTTGAATAAAATTTAGTAGTTGATTCTTAAAAATAATGAATATGAGAATTTACATCATTTAAATTTGTAAAAGTATGAATAAATACTTAGCAATGAGATTCCATCATTTTTTTGGATATTTATTTGCAAGATCTTAAATGCCAACATGGTAGAGTATTAGCTAGTTACCTTTACTAACATGTAATTATAGAATCAAACAAACAAGTCGGTTATAATGTTTTTCACATATAGAATAATTTTCTAAAGAATCAAGTAATGAAAATAATTCAGGAAAATACTTAGCCAAAAGTTTTACTCTTTAATTGATTTTTCTCCTGATGCAAAACGCCATTTCTGTTTCCCCTTAGTTTCACACTGAGCTAAATGTGTATTTTGATATCTCTCAACAAGACTTTCAAATAAGCATGGTAAACCTTTTGATTTGAGTATTGTATTTGTCATTATAATTTATATATTTATGATTCTATGAAAAATAATTGCAATTTCAAGCTTTATTTCTGAAAAAACTACTTTGTGAAGCTTTGGGGATGAGCAGGGATTATGAAACTATATATCCAAAAGAATATTATTTAACAGTTATTTTTTAAAGTTTTATATAAAAAAACACGACATAACATAGCAGGGGAGTGTTTTCTAAACTCATTTGTAACATATATAAATTGATCAACAAAAATTTCTAGAATCGATTTCTAAATTTGGAAATCTCCCTGACTGTAATAAGGCACACCAATAAAATAATTAGTTCTTGGAAAATATCCCAAACATTGGAGATATAAATATTCCAACATTCTAAAGTGTAATGGATTACCAAATCTCAGAATAATATTTAAATGAAAGAATTTTACAATTCTACACAGGAGATTTAAAGAATGATTAAGGAAATATTAATTAGTATAATTTAGGACTTCTCTAAAGTCAGATAACTAGATGATAGAACCTTTAACATGTATAAATATGTTGTAAATTTCTCTTTTCATGTAATTCTTCAGTTTAAGTTTAATTCGTAACTTATATTTGATCTTGTAAGAGAGATCATAAAAATATCATCATAATAAATAACACTGTCCTTGACCTTGTCCTTGTTGTCTTCAAATATTACATTTTTGTAATGGTAATAAATCTATCCCTAACAATGAATTTATACTAATCCTGTGCATAATTATTTTCTCTTATTTTATATTTGTCTCTATTATTTTTATTATTTTATTATTTCTTTTCTTTTCTTTTAGTGAGGTAATATTTAATAAATCTTATTTAGTAGTTTTGGAGATGTACCTGACTTGGTAGTAAAGAGGAAAACAGCTAGAAGGGCACCCACCAAGAAACGTGATCAGGATACATAATGTAAAATATTGTTTATATTTCTTAGTACCCCTTAAACGGTTAATCGGCTATTGATAGCCGATAAAATTTTTCTGATATAAAAAATTTTCTCCAAGCATATAACTTCCTAATACGAAAATGATCTTTGAGATTCAGCCGATTGGTCTGTAAAAAAATTTTCGGGTGTTGTCCTTGTGGTTTTCATATAACTTTCTTTAAAAGTTGGTCGATTGACTGTTTTTACTTTGCTGATCGTTAAATTGACCAATAAGAATGATCAAAACTTTAATTTGTGTTACCATTAAAAATATTCTGACCGTTTAAGAGATAAGAAATTGTTTAATGATAGTAAAAAATAGTTTTGAGAGTAAAGCATAAATATACATTCGTGGAAATTGTTATTACGATTTAGTATAAATAAATGGGAAAATTGCATTGGCATGTCATCATAAATCAAATCATAAGATTTGTGTGAGACGCGGATTTTGATATCACAGTATGTATCACATTAATTCATTAGTCATTAGTCATTAAATGTCAATGAAATGAAATAAAATATTTTTTGGGGAAGATTTTTTAGTAAATTTGGATGTCAAAAAAAATTTTTGTTTGTCAATTTTGTTACAGGAACTAAAGAGTTTCGAAAGTCAAAAGGTTTCAACATAAGTTGAAGCTAGTTATATAATAGTAATAGGTAGTGATGTTAGCTGTCTAAGGTTTTTCTACCAGCTAACATCACTGGTAATAGGTGCAGAATTTATGTAAAAGAAAATAATTTTTTCATAGTATAAACATTAATAATTTGTTCAATATTGACCTTTATTTATTTTAGAACCATATAGATAATATTTTTAGGAATTGCTTCACCAATCCATCCAGTAAATTCATTTTTTTATAAATAATCAATAGAATAAATTCAATAATAATAAGTTCATTTAATAACTTTTAAAATTTTCGAAATTGTAAAAACTTTTGAAGTTGAGATGGTGATTGATTTAATTTAATGATTAATGTGGTTGTGGTGTTGAAATTGTGGGAGTTGTTCTCTTGATTTCTTGATATGGAATTGCTAGCTCAGTCAATTCTCAATATTTAATTCTTCCTGAGGTATATCTGATCTAAATGACAATTCTGAAGCTGAATCATCTTCCAGAGGTATCTCTGATATAAATGACAATTCTGAAGCTGAATATTCTCCAGATCCACATGGTGAATCTGGTGTACACTCATGATTAAATAATTGAAATGTATTTTCAAGAAATTCAAATGAAGGATTCAAATCTAATGAACCAGTTTCTGAATCTAGCGAATTAGTTTCTGAATCTAATGGATCCGTCATAATTGTTGGTTTAACTCAGGGTTGGCAAATGTGTGGTCCATTGGTGGTCCATTGATGGTCCATTGGGTCCATTAGTGTAACATTTTAACTATATTTAGTATTTTATTAATGGCAATGGACCAGCTCAAAGTCCATCAGTTCTCAATGGACCAGTCAATTCGCCAACCCTGGTTTAACTCCTTCAGGAAGATAAGGATCAAGTTGTTTTGTTTCTTTTAATAATTCTGGTATCACATGTGATTTGAGAAATTTTTCAGAGTAGGCGGTGTAAGGATCACCATTTTGATTCAAAGGTGGATCCCTATATGTGCGACATTGTAGTAGTATATTGTGAAGATCAACATGATTTCCTTCATTAAATTTAATGTGAGTCAATTTTTGTGACAAATATTTTAAAATGGTTTCACATCTATGCTGTTTCTCTGCCTCGTAGATAATTTGGTTTTTCAAATGTCTCCAATATTTTTTATGAAGTTTCTTATCAGTTTCTGCGAAACAAAACATTGCTCTTTTGCATGATGAGAAATGAGTGTAAATATCATGAGCTTCATATTTCGTTGTCAATTTACCCTTATCAAGAATTTGTTTAATAAGTTCATGCAATTTTTTGATGACTTCACATGATTCTGAACACCACAAGCTGGATTTACAATTATAATTTTCATATGCTGATTCATCAAAAAGATCTTCCTTTTCAAAATCAAATCCATCTTGTCTAACTGCTAAATGTCTCTGATCAATATCAGAAGTCCAGAATTTTAATATTCCATCTCCCTTCTGAAGGTATGGTAACACTCTATAAAAATCGTCATATATTACATTGCGTGCCCTAAAACTTTTGTAAATAAAAATTATATATATTAATGACACTCAAAATCATTTACAGAAAACTATAATATATATGATTATTTACTTGACTGCAATTGTTCTTTCATTTAAACAATCATCACAGGATCTTACTCAGAACTGCCAATATATTTCAACTGTATCAATTTTACCACAAAAATTACAGGATTGAGGTGAAGCACAATAAAACCTAATATATTGTAGTTCGCTCCAGCCTGGTGGTGGTGGTTGCTGCAACCCAAAGAAGTAGATTAACCTAGACTTTTGCCAAATTGTTTGGTTTTCATCAGCTTTATCAATTAAAATATGATGAAACTTCCAACAAGTTTCAGATAGTGCCAGCAATGATGAAGGTGGTAATTCTTTGAAAATTATATATATTATCTCCAATGGAAGATCAATGAGGATGGCGGTTTGTTCTTTTTTTGAAAAACATATAAATTGTAATTGAAATACTTAAAAAAAAAAATATTCAATAAAAAAACCGTTTACAAACTTTTACACGTTACATCTGGAAGTTGACCAGGAGAATATGATTCTTTGCTTGTTCTAAATTAAAAAAGCATATATATATATATATAATTGATTTTATCTATACAATTGAGTTGCAATGATTGCAATCACTACCATTTTAAAAATAAAAACTAGAGTAACGACAGGTGGCAGGCGATAACCACCACTGTTCTTTTAATAAACACTTACTCATGTTGTTCTTTTTCGGCTTCTCGATTTCTTTGAATAAATTTTCTTTTAGGTGGCATTTTTTGTTTTTTTTTTTTTTAAAAAAAAGAAAAGGTTTGTTATTTGATCAACATGTACACATTAATTATTTATCCTATTGGTTTTTTTTTTGGTAGGACAGGCACGAATTGTTTTTTTTTTTTTTTTGGAAAAACAATTTATTTTTTGACAGTGTCCAAGGTGACAAAACGTGAGTGTTGTTGTTTGGTTT